TTCAGCTCCTCCGCCATCATGGCCGCCTGGCGAGACGAGCGGGGTGTCCATGGGGTGTCCACCGCGGTGGCCCCACCCCGGTGATGGCGCCCCCGGTGACACTCACGTCGGTGATGGCCTTCTTGGCCTTCTCCTCRGCGTTGCGGCACTCCTGGACGGCCTCCTCCACCTCGGTCTGCAGCTGGGAGATGTCCCCCTCCATCTTCTTCTTCTGGTTGATGAGGCTGGTGTTCTGGGGGACAGGGAGGGACCTCAGGAGGTGGCCCTGGGTGGGTGCAGCCCCTCTCCCCCCCCTCAGGGCCTTGGAGACCCTCCTGTGTTGCTGAAGGGTCAAGGATCTTCTGAGGATCTTGGTGATGCGATGTGGAGAGGAACGCAACCCTTCCATGGACCAACCTGACCTTTCCTGGACTTTCTATGGACCACCCAACCTCCTCCAGACCAACCTGACCTTCCATGGACCTTCCCTGGACCCACCCAACCTTCAGTAGACCTTCCATGGACCAACCTGACCTTAATTGGACTATCTATGGACAAACCCAATCTCTTCCAGACCAACTCGACCTTCCATGGACCTCCCATGGACCAACCTGACCCTTCCACGGACCTTCCCAACCTCCAGACCAACCTGACCTTCCATGGACCTTCCCCGGACCAGCCCAACCTGCCCTGGACCTTCTGTGGAGCAACCTGACCTTCCATGGACCAACCCAACCTCTTCCAGACCAACCTGACCTTCCCTGGACCAACCCAACCTTCCCTGGACTTTCTATGGACCAACCCAACCTCCTCCGGACCAACCSAACCTCCTCCAGACCAACCTGACCTTCCATGGACCTTCCCTGGACCAACCCAACCTTACCAGGACCTTCCTTGGACCAAYCCAACCTTCCCTGGACCAACCCAACCTTCCCTGRACCTTCCATGGACCAACCCAACCCTCCTTAGACCCTCCATGGACCACCACAACTTCCTCCCATTCCACCCAACCTTCCTCAGATCTTCAGGACAAGGTGGGCACCACCCTGAGCCACCTCGCGGTCCCGAGCTGACCAATTTGGAGCTGTTTCTCCTGGGTCGGAGCGCCCCTGGGTGGAGGTGACCCCTCTCCCGGGAGCCAGGTGAGGTCTCACCTGTGAGTGGAGGAGCTGGACCCTCTCGCTGGCCTCGATCAGCTCCTGCTCGGCCAATTTCCGGGCCCTCTCGGTCTGCTCCACCAGGCCRCGGAGCTCCTCCAGCTCCGACTGCAGCAGCGTGTTCCTGCGCTCCACCATGGCCACGTTCTCCTTCAGATCCTCCCCGACCCTTGCTGCATCGTCCAGCTGCAGCTGCGTGTCCTGGAGGGGAAGGGGGAAGGGTGGTGGGTCCACCCGACCAAGGGGTGGTGGGAAAGGGGTTGCTGGGAAGCAGTGGTGGGTCCACCTGGCTATGGGGTGGTGGGTCCACCCAACCATGGGGTGGTGGGTGCACCTGGCCAGGGGTGGTGGGTCCACCCAGTCAAGGGGTGGTGGGAAGGGGCTGGTGGGTCCACCTGGCCATGGGGATGGTGGGGAAGGGGGTGGTGGGAAGC